GAGCTGCTGGAGGTAACGCGGCTGCCCCCGTCACAGCAGCCTCAGGGCTCGCTGGGGCGGCTGCGGTGCCGGCGCCGGGCAGTGGGTGCTGTGGCCGTGGTGTGCCGGTGCTGACCCTCATCCCCCCAGGTGTGGGGCAGCAGTGGGCGCAGCCACAGCGTGGACCTCACGGCGCTGGGGAAGCACGGGGAGGTCTACACAGAGGGTAGGGCCCCTGCCCCTTGCCTGCAACACAGGCGAGTGCATGCCTGGTGCCCAGCTGCACCTGCGCCAGGCTGGGCTTTGGCACCCTCTTACCCTACCAGGGCCCTTCGCCTGCCTGGCCTGGTCCCACGCAGAGACGCAGCTGCTCTACGTGGCTGAGAAGAGTCGGCCCAAACCACAGCCCGCCTGCCCCTGGGATGTGCCGGGAGCCACCAGGCTAGCAGAGGAGGATGAGGATGAGGAGGTGGGTGCGATGCTCCGTGAGCATGCCATGCACCCCATAAGTGTGCCATGCACGTGCCATGCACAGAGCCCCATGTCTGGGGCCACCGGCCATAGGGCTGACAGGACTTGTGCACAGGGTGAGCAGTTCGTGTACTGCGATAACTGGGGGGAGGCGCTGAGCACCCGCAGCGTGCCCGTCCTCTGCATCCTGGACATGGAGGGCAGCAGCGTCTCAGTGCTGGAGGGCATCCCGGAGCACCTCTCCCCTGGCCAGGTCAGGATGGGGGGCCCCGGGGAGACCCAGGGGGCCTCATCCTGGGGCTGTGGGATGAGCCCGGCTGTTGCACAGGCCCTGTGGTCCCCGGATGATCGTGGTGTGGTGTTCGTGGGCTGGTGGCATGAGCCCTTCCGCCTGGGGCTGAGTGCCTGCTCCAACAGGAGGTGGGTCCCCCCAGCACCCAGCACCGTGTCAGGACACCCACCCTGTGCTGGGTCAGCCACAGGGCTCCAGCCTGACCCATGCCTCCTCCCCAGGTCAGGAATTTTCCACTTGGACCTGGCCAGTGGGCACTGTGGTGAGCACCAGGGACGTGGAGGGTGCAGTGGCTCCCGGGGATCCCCAGGGTGCTGACCCCCTGGTGCCCGCAGAGCTGCTGTCGGCTGAGCACGCTGCCGCCTGCTCCCCCCGGCTGAGCCCCGATGGCCGGCGCCTGCTCTACCTGGAGGGGTGCCTGGGGGGGCCCCACCGGCAGTGCCTGCGCCTGCGCATGGTGAGCGGGAGCCCTGTGGGTGCCGGGCACAGCTGTGCCACCGGCATAGGACCCAACCCGGAGTGTCACAACTGCTTGCAGTGCCCGGCAGGGCAGGGAGTGGGTTCAGTTCCCAATCCCCCTGCCTCAGTTTCCCTGGCGGGGGCCCGTCCCCAACCACCAACTCTCCTCAGCTCACCTGGCTGACAAAGCAGACGGTGACGGTGCTTGATGTGGTGCAGGAGCCCACAGAGGGTGAGCGCAGCATGGTGGGCAGGGCTGGGTGCTGTTGGGGGGCCGGGGCCTCCCCCCATGCCAGGTGCCCATGGCCCCTGCTCACCAGCACTCTGTCCTGTTCCCAGCCTTTGCCGGGCTCTACGGGGAGGCGCTGCCGCTGCGGTGCTGGGCAGCCGACAGCCGACGAGCCGTGCTGAGCACCCCGCAGCGGAGCCGCACGGTGAGCCCTGGGGACAGGGGTGGGGGGACTGGGGAGTGGCCTCTGCACGCCATGGGTGTGGCTGCCTGTGCTCTGCCCCTCGCAGGACCTGCTGCTCGTGGACACGGAGGCGACCACTGTAACCAACCTGACAGCAGGTATGTGGTGCTGGGCTACCCGCAGTGCCCCATCGAGCATCCACAAGTGCCAGGGTGCTTTCTGTCCCCAGGGTCACCTGAAGGGTGCTGGGAGCTGCTCACCCTCCAGTGGGACTTGCTGGTGGCCACCTGCTCGGCCCCGCATCGCCCCCCAAACCTGGTGAGCAGAGCCCTGGCACCATACAGCACAGTGTGAGATGGCATGGCAATGTGTGGCCCGGCATGGCACAGCATCACCAGGCACAGCATAGCATGGCATGGCATGGCACAGTATGGCATGGTGGCATGGCATGGCGATGCGTGATCTGGCAGCACGGCATGGTGTGGTACAGCCAGATCCAGCGTGGCATTACATGGCATAGTGTGGCAAGGCACCGCAGAGCTTGGCAAGGCCAGGCACAGTGCAGCATGGCATGGCACGGCCAGGCACAACACGCCAGGGCCAGGTACAGTGTGGTATGGCCAAGCACAGCACAGCATGGCACGGGACAGGATGGCATGGTGTGGCACAGCTCAGGATGACACCACAGAGCACTGGAGAACTGGGACCATGGGCACACTGGGGCTAATTACACCATGGCAGGGACCAGCTGCCCTGGGTTGGGGTGCCCCGGTGCCACCCCCTGCCTGTTCCCAGGTGGTGTCGGTGCTGCCGCCGGCTGGCCGGGAGCTGCCCCTCTGCTGGGTGCCGGTGGAGAACACCCCAACGCTGCCCGGTGTCACCTGGAAGACCCTGACAGTCTGGCCGCCCTGCAGCAGGCAGAGCCCCACCGCACATGGTGAGCACCCGGGGGCCCCCGTCACCCCTAGGTGCCAGCTGGGTGCCAGGGGCTCTTGGGTGCGGGAGGTGGTCAGGGTGCTGGGTGCCTGGGGTGGTGGGTGCTGAGCGGGACCCTTTCCCTGGCACAGGAGCCCAGGCCTTTGAGGCCCTGCTGCTGAGCCCGCCGGACAGCACTGCACCGCACCCCCTAGTCGTGTGTCCTCACGGTGAGCAAGGGGATAGTGGGGACACCCTGGCAGCACTTTTGGCACCCCAAGTGACAAATCTGCTGGCTCCAGGTGGCCCCCACGCCGTCTTTGATGCCCGCTGGCGCCCGAGCATGGCTGCGCTGTGCCGCCTGGGCTTCGCCGTGCTCCTGGGTGAGTGCTGGGGACCCCAGGGATGTGTGGCCCCTGTGTCCCACAGGAGACCTGGCACCCACGGCCCCCATCTCCCCAGTGAACTACCGCGGCTCCCTGGGCTTCGGCCAGGCCAGCATCAGCTCTCTGCTCTCCTGCGTGGGTGAGCAGGACGTGGAGGACACCCAGGTGAGGGGTGCTGGGCTGGGAGGTGCCAGGGGAATGCTGATGGTGGGGTGCTGATGATGGGTGCCCCACGGATGCAGCTGGCGGTGGAGCAGGTGCTGCGCAGTGAGCCCCTGGACCCGCACCGCCTAGCCCTGCTGGCTGGCTCCCACGGAGCCTTCATTGCCCTCCACCTCCTCACCCGTGAGCCTGACCGCTACCATGCCTGCGCCCTGCGCAGCCCCGTTTCCAACCTGCTGGCACTGCTGGGCACCTCCGACATCCCCGACTGGTGAGTGCCCCGTTCCCACCACGAGCTGTGCTGTGCCACATCCCCACGGCACCCACCAGCGTCTCCGTGCCGCAGGCGCTATGCCTCCCTGGGGCTGCCCTACTCCTTCGAGCGGGTGCCCCGCGTCGAGGAGGTGGCCACCATGCTGCTGCGCTCGCCCATCGCCCAGGCGGCCCAGGTAAGGCAGGGGCAGGATGGGTGCGGGGTGTTGGGTGCAGGGCGCTAGTCACCCACCACCAGCTGTGCCGCAGGTGCGGACACCAGTGTTGCTGTGCGTGGGCGCCCGGGACCGGCGCGTCAGCCCCACGCAGGCGCTGGAGCTGTACCGTGTGCTGCGGGCCAGGGGGGTGCCGGCGCGGTGAGTGGGATGGAGGGGGGTGGGAGCAGGGATGGAACCTCGGGGTGCCAGCTGAGCATCCCTCCCATCCCATCCCACCTACAGGCTGCTGTGGTACCCGGATGGCGGCCACGCGCTGGCTGGTGTGGAGACAGAGGTCAACGTCTTCGTGAACTGCGCCCGCTGGCTCCTCCGGCACCTGGGGCAGCCCCGGTGGGGTGTGACGGGACAGCACAGCTCCTAGCACCCGTGGTGGCCCGGTGGCTGTGCCAGCCCCAGGGCGACCACTGGCCCTGGGACCACCCCAGGCCCAGAGGTGGATGGAGCAAGCATAGCCAGCGGCAGGATGGGACGTGGGCTGGGGTGTGGGGCTAAATAAATGTGTGAGACCCTGTGCAGTACCAACCCCCACGGCCACGGCTGGGCCTTTATTGTGTGGAGCCAGCTCAGCCCATCTTCATCACCTTGTGGATCCAGTCGACATAGAGGGAGATGCGGATGAAGAGGGCAGGCTGGTCGGTGCGGGCGCAGACACGGGAGGGGGTGATCACTCCCTCCAGCACCCAGCAGTCGGCGGTGAGGCAGGCCAGCGGGCCCCCGTAATCTCCCTGCGGCACCCAGAGAGCAGTGTCACCCCGGCGCCAGCACTCGCAGACTCCCTGAGGCAGGGGTCCCCATCCTGGCTCACCTCGCAGGCCCCCACGCCGGCGCGCAGCGGGGCGGTGCACAGCTCGCTCTCCTTCAGGCGCCCGCGCAGCGCCGCGTTGCACTCGCCATGGGCCAGCACAGGCAGCTGCGCCACGTTCAGCACACTGCCGTCCGCCGAGCCTGCGGGCAGCGAGTGCGCGGGGCAGAGGACGCACGGCCGGGGAATGCCGTGGCCAGGGCAGTGCTGTGGCAGGAGGTGCCACGGGTGGGTGGATGCCATGGGTAGGGGCACATTGGATGCACAGGGACACCTTCACAGGGAGAGTGCCACCAAAGGGGGTACTGCAGGCAGGGGATATCATGGGCAGGGGGATGGCGTTGCCGGGGAATGGCACAGGCAGGAGGATGCCATGGGCAGGAGGATGCCGTGGGCGGGGGATGCTGTGAACACGGACATGCCAGGGACATGGAGATACTGCGGGCAGGGAGATGCCACAGACAAGGGGATACTTCAAAC